AAAAAAAAAAAAAAAAAAAAGTGAAAAAGACTCACGGAAGAGTTCTAGAGATTGGTTGCACAACAATGTGAATGTGCTAACTACTACACTTAAACATGTGTAAAAGGGCAAATTTTATGGCATATGTATTTTGCCCACAATTAGAAAATTGAAAACAGGGGCGCCTGGGTGGCGCAGTCGGTTAAGCGTCCGACTTCAGCCAGGTCACGATCTCACAGTCCGTGAGTTCGAGCCCCGCGTCAGGCTCTGGGCTGATGGCTCAGAGCCTGGAGCCTGTTTCCGATTCTGTGTCTCCCTCTCTCTCTGCCCCTCCCCCGTTCATGCTCTGTCTCTCTCTGTCCCAAAAATAAACGTTGAAAAAAAAAGTTAAAAAAGAAAATTGAAAACAAAAAGACATTCATGGACCAATTGGGGAACATGAACACTGACTGGATATTAGATGCCATTAAAGGATTATTAAATTTTTTTAAGTAGGCTCCATGCCCAATGGTGGGACTTAAACTCATGACCCTAGATCAAGAGTCGCATGGTCTATCGACTGAGCCAGCCAGGTGTCCTAAGGGATTATTAATTTTTGAAGTGTGATATTGATGTATTTCACTGAAGACCATCTCTTAGAGATACGAACAAACCTATTTACAGATGAAATGACACCATGTCTGGGATTGGCTTTAAAATAAACCAGGAAGGGCCCGTGGGTGGCTCAGTTGATTGAATGTCTGATTTTGGCTCAGGTCATGATCTCACGGTTTGTGAGTTCAAGCCCCGCATTGGGATTTCTGCTGTCAGGGCAAAGCCTGCTTCAGATCCTCAGTCCCTCTCTCTTTCTCTCTGCCCCTCTCCTGCTTGCGCTCCCCAAAATAAATAAATCCTTCAAATAAAAGAAAATAAACCGGAAGGGAGGGAGATGTGGGGAGACAAAGATAAACCCAAACTGGGCGATATATATGTTGAAGCGGGGTCGTAGATACCTCAGGGTTCACTACTCCATTTCGTCTTTTCTTGGGCGTGTTTGAAAACATCTACCACCGAAAAAGAAATAAGACAAACAAGAAAAAATAGCGCTCCTCTATTATGCCCTGTTGTTCTTCCAGGCACTCATCCTGGCCAGACGTACGGAGAGCGTGCCGCTGTCTTGTCCCCAGCTGTGACTTCAGAAGGCTGTGGGTGAAAGTCTCAGAGGCAAACTGCTCACCCAGGAAGCTGTGGGTGCTATGGTGGCCCAGGAGGACTCGCTCCAGGTCAGGGAGGAGTGGGAGGGGAAAGGGCAGGTTCTGCGCACCGCCCCCCCCCCCCATGCGCTGCCCCCTAGAGCGGCCCAAGCTCACGTGGACATTGTACCAGTCACTGCTTCTGTAGCCACCAAATACCAAGCCCGGCCTGATTCAGCATCAGAGGTGGCCGAGTGAA